AGACCCTGTACCAACACATAAAAAAAAAAAAAAAAGAGATGTTCAGACTTTGAACATCAGGCTGCTGAACAATGACTATACAAGCTTTATTTTAAAAACCACAAAGGTGTAAGGACAGCACATTATAGTATAAATATACATACAGTATGGTTGAAATTACATAAGAATTTCATTTAGTAAGTTAAGATTCTCTTGAAACTTGTGATTGGTTAGTTTGAGATGGAAGGATCTGATGCCATGGGGTTTTTTCCTAATAAATTTTGTAAAAGTAAAGTATACTCCTTAAACACTTTCAAAAACATAAAGTACAGGTTAAAAAAAAGTAAATCAGTAAAAATTAAGCCAGAGTTTCTCTGTTCAATCAGTATCTATTTTTGGCGGGTTTTTTGGTGGTACTGGAGATTGAACTCAGGACCTTGTGCTTGCCAGGCAAGTGCTTATTCTACTGTGCCAGCCTTGAGTTTTTTTATTCAAATAAAACCTTGTTGATATTTGGCTGTGTTTTGCTTTTAATTTTTTTAACAAAGGAATTTGTAGTTCTACAAAGTTATAGTTATATACTGCACACTAATTCAATCTGACTTTTTGTACTCAATCTTATTTCATATACACTGTGTCCTATTATTTCACCCTACTGTTATTACTTAGTAATATCAAGTGATTTATAATAAGGTCTTTCATGATCCATTACACTGAAGCCCACATACAGAAAAGAAAATAAAGCTAACAGCATCTTTCACTTTTTACTGCACCAGAAAGAAATAAAAGGTCTCTGACTTATAGAAAGGGTCACTACTTAACACAGATTTTGAGATGTCCTTTTTTGATCCAATTTTCAGGGCTGCACAATAAATATGGCACTCAAAACTGTCTTTTTTCAAAACAGCTAAAAATCTATGCAACAGAAACAGAAGAGGCAGGGATTTCAGGCCCTCCTAAAAGAGCTGGATTGTACACACAGATGCCAAGAGTCATGGGGCCACGAAGCAAGCCATGCAGGAGGGCGACCTAGATCAGTGAGTCACGCTGGCCAGGGCTGCTGGCGACTGAGTGCCATCAGCATCTGACAGATGTTCACAGGCCTGAATGAACCGCGCTGGCCTCACAGTCTCCTGAGAACAGGTTCGCAAGTCACTGAACAAGATGGGGAAACCTCTGGCTGGAGTCAGCTCTGATTAGCACCTTTGCTGACAACTCAGCAGAAAAGGCTGGGAGGACCACGACTGTGGAAGGAGCCGATGTGCTCTCCAGTTAGGACTCACTGAGCAGCCCTTGGAAGCCCTTAATTCTCCAGCAATTGTCCACAGCACTGCAGCTTCACATTCTGACATGTCTACATGGGTGGAATGTACAGGTGGGCTCCTTTCAAATCTTTACCCTGCGTGAACAACCCAATGTGTTAGCTTTCTGTTATTGTGACAAAGTATTAGAGATAAAGAACAAAAAGGGAAAGAAAGATTTATTTTCTCTCGGGTGCAAAGGCTCTAGTCCATGCTTGGTCCTGTTGCTTTGGGCTTATGGCAACATCTATGTCACAGAAGGAGATGTGACAGACAGGGTCTGTTCACCTCACAGTGGCCAGGAAGCAAGGACAGCGAGAGAAGAAAGGGGTTGGGGCCCTGCATCTCCTTCAATGGTTTGCCCCTGAAGGTCTGCACCTCCCAAGAGTACCACTGTTAGTGATCAAGACTTCAACAGGAGCATTTGGAAGACATTCATGCTCAAGACAAAACATCCAGCAAGGCAACACCCACTAGTGGCACCTCTACTAACTAAGACACTAACGTATACTGCGAGCTGCCTTTCCAGTTCAAGCCCTGCCTCTCCATACTGTTTTGCTTATCTCTGGTCAGACCTCTTTTGCTGCTCTATATGTCTACTACACAGCTGTATCCAGCAGCACTATATAAGCAACTGTACAGCTTAGCGTGGTGAGATACCTCCCCAGGATACTGGCCTCCTTTTAAATAGCAAGACCATCTAAGAGACTCCAGGGTCTCTCTCCCCCCACCTTTCCCACTGTCAGGCCTTGGCCCTTTCTCACTGGAGCTCAGCTTATTCAGTCCAGTTCCTCACCCCATAGAATCCCTCCCTACCCACCACATTCCCTATTCTTCTCAGTCTCACTTTATTCTCCAACCTTGTCCTTCTCCAGAAAACTTGTCTTACTTTTGTTATACACTTGATGAACCTTGACCCTGCTTCACTGAATAAACTTACTGCCTCCACAAAGGACAGTCTCTCCCCTTCTTTCAGTCAATCCATGGCCACAACCTACTTTCTCCAAGACCTGGCTTGGAAATCTCTTACTACAGGAAGCC